AACCCTAGTACACTGCTGGTGGGAATGCAGATTGATGCAGCCAGTATGGAGGTTCCTCCAAAAATTAAAAATGGAACTGCCATTTGACGCAGCAATCCCACTCTGGGACTATATCATAAGAATCCTGAAACACCAATCAGAAAGAATGTATGCACTCCTATGTTCAAAGCAGCATTATTTATAACTAGAGGCCTGGTGCATGAAATTCATGCACAAGTAGGGTGCCTAGGCCTGGCCAGCGATCAGAGCTGATTGGGGCCTTCTGGCTGCAGCTGGGGCTTTCCTTCATTCCACACCACCCCCTGGTGGTCAGCACATGTCATAGCGAGCAATTGAACTCCCATTCTCCCAGTTGAATTCCCAAGGGGACACTTTGCATATTAGCCTTTTATATAGACAGATAGCTAAGATCTGGAAACAGCCCAAGTGCCCATCAGTACATGAGTGGATAAAAAAGCTGTGGTAGCCCTCAGTGGTTTGGCTCAGTGGATAGAGCATCGGCCTGCAGACTGAAGGGTCCCAGGTTCGATTCCAGTCAAGGGCATGTACCTTGGTTGCAGGCACATCCCCAGTAGGGGGTGTGCAGGAGGCAGCTGATTGATGTTTCTCTCTCATTGAGGTTTCTAACTATCCCTCTCCCTTCCTCTCTGTGAAAAAATCAATAAAATATATTATATAAAGAAAAGAAAGAAAGAAAGCAAAAACTTCCTGTAAACAAATGAAAATGAACACACAACAACCCCAAATCTCTGGAACACAGCAAAAGCAGTCCTGAGAGGGAATTTCATAGCGCTACAGGCATACCTCAAAAAACAAGAAAAATCAGCAATAAACTATTCAACCCTACAACTAAAAGAACTAGAAAGAGAAAAGAAAAGCCCAAAGTGAGTAGAAGGAAGGAAATAGTAAAGATTAGAGGAGAAATAAATAACATAGAGATGAAAAAACAATACAAAAATCAATGAAACCAAGAGCTGGTTCTTTGAAATGATAAACAAAATTGATAACCATTAGCCAGACTCATCAAGAAACAAAGAGAGAGGACCCAAATAAATAAAGCCAGAAACGAAAGGGGAGAAGTAACCATTGACACCACGGAAATAAATGGGATTGTAAGAAAATACTATGAACAATACTATGAAAATAATATGCCAACAAGCTGACCCTGTGGATAAATTGAAAAATTCCTGGAAAAATACAATATCCCAAAACTAAATCAGGAATAGTAAAAAAACCTGAATAGGCCAATAACAAAATAGAAACAGTAATCAAAAACCTCCCACCCAACAAAAGCCCAGGTGCAAATGGCTTCAAGGGGAGTTTTTCCAAACATTCAAAGAAGAACTAACACCCTATACTTCTCAAACTATTTCAGAAAATTAAGATGAAGGAACACTTCCAAACTCTTTTTATGAGGCCAGCATTATACTAATTCCAAAACCAGATAAAACCACTACAAAGAAAGAATTACAGGCCAATATCCCTGATGAACATAGATGCTAAAATCTTCAACAAAATATTAGCAAATTGCATCCAGCAATATATTAAAAAGATCATACACCATGATCAACTGGGATTTATTCCAGGGATGCAAGCCTGGTACAATATTTGTAAATCAATTAAAGTGATACATCACATAAACAAATTGAAAAACAAAAATCATATGATCATTCCAATAGACACAGAAAAAGCATTCAACAAAATCCAACATCCATTTTTGATAAAAACTCTCAGCAAAGTTGGAATTGAAGGAGCATATCTCAATATGACAAAGGCCATATATGACAACTCTACAGCCAACATCATACTCAATGGGCAAAAACTAAATACATTTCCCCTAAGAACAGAAACAAGACAGGGATGCCCACTTTCACCACTACTGTTCAACATAGCACTAGAAGTGCTAGCCATAGTGATCAGAAAAGAAGCAGAAATAAAAGGCATCCAAATTAGAAAAGAAGAAGTAAAACTGTCATTATTCTCAGATGACATGATATTGTACATAGAAAACCTCAAAGACTCCATCAAAAAACTACTAGATTTAATAAATTAATTAGGCAATGTAGCAGGATATAAAATTAACACCCAGAAATCTACGGCTTTTTTATACACCAATAATGAACTCACAGAAAGAGAAACTAAAAAAACAAT